GGTGCACATATGCACCTATGTGCACACATGACAAGCACCAATACACGTGCAGTCACACATGCACATGTCACATGTACACACATGCTCATGTACACACCATACAGAGATACATGCACATACACATGCCTCTGTACACATGTGCACACAGGGCTACACACAATATACATGTGCAGTTATGCACACACACGGCACATGTACACGCATGCTCACGTGCACACACAAACCAAGCCTGGGTACATGCACTGCACATGCCTGTATGTACACATGTGTACACGGGTCGTGTGTCCAGGCATGGCAGTGGTGCGTACCCACACCTCTGCATGTACATGCCTGCAAACACACTCCTGTATGTATGGCCCGAGGTTCTGAGCCCCTGGACCTCTGAGTCTCCCTCCAATGCTGTCTCTGGATGAAGGTCCCGGCCCTCGCCTGCCCCTGGTGTCCTGGCGGCATTTTAACAGGAGGGCAATGGGCCAAGTTTAACTCAGAGGCTGGGGCCTGGAGGGGCAGCTGAATTTGCAGTCAAGAGAGCAGGGTTTGAGTCCACACCCAACACAGACTGGAAGGAGGTGTTGGTGGGCCAGCCCCTGTCTTTCTGCACTGAGGTCTCCTCTCCTGACAAGACCAGACTTGCAGGATCATTATGGGATGGGGATGAGCATTGCCAATTGGCAAGTTCCAAGCCGACGAGAGCCTCCGTGTGTACGAGCTGCCCGAGAGACTTGTTAAAGGTGGATTCTCACAATTGCTCCAGGCGGGACCTGAGGACCTGCCTTTCTCAGGCACTTCCAGGGACCCCACTCTGAGGAGTGAGGGGCTGCACAAAACCCAGGGATTTCTCCAGAACTTTCGCGAGGTGTCTGCGGGAAAGAAAGAGACAGAGACTCACCCTGCAAGGGTCTTGTGCTGGCTGCCCCGTACCAGGCGCAGTGGGAGGGAGGGAGGGAGGGAGGTTGGTCCCTCGGAGGCCCCGGCAGGTGGCACTGTCCTCCCCGGCCTGCCGGGAAGTTGGAAGGAGCCCTGGGGCCCCCCAAATCCTGTTACATCCTGGCAATTACAGTTTATTGCTGCGGCACTAATCCCTTAAAATTAGTCATTAGCGGCTTAAGAACCATTTAGCGTTGGGTGCTCACTAAGGAGCTGGGGGAAGCGGGGAATCTGCCAGAACCAGAACTTTCTCTGGCCTGGCAGCCATGGCTGGGCGGGGACCGGGGCCCGGCAGTGCCTCCCGGGGTCCTCACGCGCTGTTTCTTTCCCATTCCACCTGGCAGACGCATGAAGAGGATTTGACAAACTCGTGGGGAAGGTTTATTAGATCAGCCCACGAGGGAGACATGTTATCAGAGACCTCTGCTCTCTCCAGCCCACCCAGACACGTCCCTCGGGGTTGTGAGGGCTGTGCCAGCCCCACCCCTGCCTCTTTCCGGGAAAGGAGAATCCCACAGTCTGAGTAGAGCCGTCCGCCGGCCGGAGCTGCTGCAACTCAGCGCTGGCTGGGGGCCCAGCCTGGTGTAGACCCTCCCGGGGAGCCGGCAGGGGAGGGGCCAGCCCCGGGCTCCCCGAAAGGAAGGTGCTTTGGAGACCCCTGGCTGTGGAGGGGGAAGGGGAGACCAAGGCAGAAAGGAGCCCCGGTCCGGATGCGGACGTGAGGTTGCACTGGGGACAGGGTGCTTGTCTGTGGCCCTTTAGCTGCCAAGCCTGTCCCGATGGCCACGGAAGCCGGGGTGGAAGGCAGGTGTGGGCAGTGGCCCAGGCTGCACCAACCAGAAGGTTCAGGAGCATCAGATCCGGGGAAGGTGACACGAGGACTTCGGGACAGTGGGTGGAGTCCTGTGGCCACGGGGTCTGTGGCTGTGGGATCCCCTGGTGCGGTATTTCTGGCGTGGGTGGAGTCTGTGGCCGTTGCTCCTTGGCCACCAGGTTTGGCATCGGTGATGGCAGAGTCAGCGGTTCCAGGGTCCCGGAGCTGTGGGGTGTGTGTCCACCAGGGGAGTCAGTGCCAGAGCCACCTGAGGCTGAGCCCACCTCTCCACCCTCCCGTTTTCTCAGCCTCTGCCCCAATCCTCCCGATAAATTCCATTCCTACCTGGGCTGGCTGGAGTTTAGCCCCCCTTTGGGGGGGCTCCTGCCTGGACCTGGACCTGGCTGTCACCCACCGGGGACCACTCCCCCTGCTGCCCCCGGGGCAGAGGCTGCGGGCTTCTGTTCTGCCTGAGGGCCCAGCCCTCTGTCCTCCCCCAGGACAGCTCCTGACCTCCAGCCTCTGGGCCCACCCTATCCCCGCTTCCCACCTGTTGGGGTCCCACCCGCCTTCAGGGCCCAGTCAGACCCCATCTCCTAAACTGCCTTGACAAGAACCGACCCCTGCCCCTCTGTGTTCACAGCCAGGGTGGTGCTGGCTCCCTGGTCCTGAAGGGCCAGCTGAGTGGGGCTCGGTCCCGGAAGCCCCAGCTCCATGAGTGTGTCGGGGGCCGTCACCGGGGCTGCTGGCAGTGAAAGGGTGGGCGGGAACAGGCACCTCGGCTCTCAGGCTGTGGCTTGGCAGGAATGGTGATGGGGAAAGCAGGGTGGTGGGGGCTGGGGTGCCAGGGCCCTGGGATTGACCTGGGGGGTATTGGCGGAGGACAGCCCAAAGGCTAGACCAGGGCCCCCGTTCTGATTATCTGTGGCCGTGGGAGCAGCATCTTGCCTGGGCCCCGGTGTGCTCAGCTGAGACGTGGGGTGGCGGCAGCCCCTGGGCTGGGCTGGGGCCGGGCAGTCTGGGGCTCCCGGTTTCAGTGTGAGAGCCAGTGGCTGCCCAGCTCTGGTGGGGCCGTGTCTGTCTGAAGCACTTGTGTGTCCAGGGGCCAAGCCAGGGCAGAACAGCCTTTGCCTGACGTGGAAACGTCTCACTTCTCCTCTTATCTGCACAGCCTGCGTCCCGCACAAAGCCTCATGAAGCTGAACCCCACGGGCCTCCGAGGACCCCTCCGTCAAACCCCTTGTGCCCAGGAACAGAAGCCAACACTGAACGGTGACGTTGGGGGGTTGGGAGAGGACATGCAGGAGGAATCAGGGGCTTCCTGTCTCAAGGCTGCGGGGCACACCCATCTCTCCCAGTGGGCCACTTAGAGGACGGCCCCCCCAACTTTCCCCGAGACCTGGAGGAAAAGGGCTTTCATGAAGGGTTTGCAGAGCCTGGTGAGTGGAGAGTTCTAATGGTGGGCGGGGGGTGCTGGGAGTGGGGTTTGTGGAGCTGGTGGAGAGTTCTAATGGTGGGCGGGGGGTGCTGGGAGTGGGGTCTGTGGAGCTGGTGGAGTGTTCTAATGGTGGGCGGGGGGTGCTGCCAGTGGGGTTTGTGGAGCTGGTGGAGTGTTCTAATGGTGGGCGGGGGGTGCTGCCAGTGGGGTTTGTGGAGCTGGTGGAGTGTTCTAATGGTGGGTGGGGGGTGCTGCCAGTGGGGTTTGTGGAGCTGGAGGAGTGTTCTAATGGTGGGCGGGGGGTGCTGGGAGTGGGGTTTGTGGTGGGCTGGGGGTGCTGGGAGTGGGGTCTGTGGAGCTGGTGGAGTGTCTTTAATGGTGGCGGGAAGGCTGGCCAGTGGGGTCTGTGGAGCTGGTGGAGGTTCTAATGGTGGGCGGGGGTGCTGCCAGTGGGGTCTGTGGAGCTGGTGGAGGTTCAATGGTGGGCGGGGGTGCTGGGAGTGGGTCTGTGGAGCTGGTGGAGTGTTCTAATGGTGGGCGGGGGGTGCTGGGAGTGGGGTCTGTGGAGCTGGTGGAGTGTTCTAATGGTGGGCGGGGGTGCTGCCAGTGGGGTTTGTGGAGCTGGTGGAGTGTTCTAATGGTGGGCGGGGGTGCTGCCAGTGGGGTTTGTGGAGCTGGTAAGTGTTCTAATGGTGGGCGGGGTGCTGCCAGTGGGGCTTGTGGAGCTGGTGGAGTGTTCTAATGGTGGGTGGGGGTGCTGCCAGTGGGCTCTAGGGAGCTGGAGGAGTGTTCCCAATGGTGGCTGGGGTGCTGGGAGTGGGGTTTGTGGAGCTGGTGGGAGGTTCTAATGGTGGGCGGGGGTGCTGGGAGTGTGGTTTGTGGAGCTGGTAGAGTGTTCTAATGGTGGCGTGGGGTGTGCTGGGAGTGGGGTTTGTGGGAGCTGGAGAGTGTTCTAATGGTGGGGCGGGGGTGCTGGGAGTGGGGTTTGTGGAGCTGGTGGAGTGTTCTAATGGTGGGCGGGGGGTGCTGGGAGTGGAAAGGGAGGGGTGAGGCGGGGATGGCAGAGCTGGAGCTGCCTCACCCTTAAGGAGTCTGGGTGGAGGCGGCAGCCCTGGGCATGGCCCACAGTTCGCAGGCAGGAGGCAGGGGCCACGCCTCCCCGGTCCTTCCTCGCCTGGCCCCTGCCCCAGGTCTCCCTCATCTCAGCAGCCGCGGCTCTGCAGCGAGGCCGTTCCCCTGGCTGCACAGGCTCCCCTCTGCTGGGCTCAGACAGCGGCACCTGTACCTCTGAATCACGGGCTCGTTTTCCCCATGGCCGGAGAAGGCCGGGGCCGCCAAGCCGAGTGGAGGGGACTGGCTCTCCAGCCTCGACGGCCAGGTGCTCCAGCTGCCCCATGGGGCGGAGTCACCGCACACCCCGGCTTTGGTGCTGCCAGCCGGGTCCAGGCCCTCCCTTGGCCCTGGAGTGCCGGGCACAGAGGACAGTCTCCCCTGCATGCACCCTTATCTGTGAACAGTCCTCCCAAGCCCTGTGCCTCCGTCCGGGCTCCATCAGCAAAGGGAAGCCCCGGAGCTGGGGCCCGGCCTCGAGGCAGAGCTGGAAGCTGCTAAGCGGAGGGGCCTCAGCCCATGGTGGTGGGGAGGGCACCCCGGCCACCCTTGGTCCCAGCTGCCACCTGTGCGCTGGCTGTGCACTCCCTGAGCGGAGATGCCTGACCCCTGCAACACTGGGCTACGGATGGCGGCGTGCCGACAGAGCTCCTTCCACTCCTCCTTCCCACCCTGCTAGGGCTGGGCCACAGACACACAGGGTGGGTGGACTGTCTGGGGGAGAAGACTTTATTTCACAAGGTGAGGAACCGGGGCTGGCGGCCGACACCCACACACCAGGCTCCGGGACACACAGGGTCTGCACGTGGGGAGGGTGCTGGCCGCCCCAGCAGAAGTCTGACGTAGGTCTCGGCGTGTCTGTCGGTCATGCCGCTGCCGCGGGGCTGGAGACACAGGACGTGCACCCAGCCTGTGGCTGGCGGGGCAGAGGACCCGCAGGTCTGGCCGAGTGGAGCGGCTGTAGGCTAGGCCACGGTCTGGCGGCTGAAGAGCTCGAGGGTGAGCGAGCTGAGGAAGGCGGGGATGCTGTCCTGGCGTCGCAGGTGCACCTCGATGAGCTCGCCCACGGTGTGCGAGAACTCCGTCTCCAGCAGCTGCATCTTGGAGCCCGAGGGGCTGGTGGCCTGTGGGGCAGGTAAGAGACAGGACAGCGGTCAGCCTGGCAGGCCTCTCTCCCTGTCCCCTCCCTCCCTACACAGCCCCTCCAGCCATGGGGGCTTCCCTTGGCCTGAGGACCTGGACAGGGGTAGATGTGTCCTTAACCCTGCCAGGCCTTATTCCAGGTCACCTAAAGGGACTGAATTAACCCAGGGCAGGGTCTCTCGTCTACACTGTCATGTGCACAGGCAGCTGGGGGTCCCAGGCACTGCGGGGTGTGCCCACCCGAGGCGCTGCTGCCTCGCCCCTTCCTCCTCCACCTGAGGGGGCTCCCGCACCTGTCTACGCACCTGTGACTGGCCCCAGTGCCTCTCCCCACTGAGGCTGGAGGACCCCACGCCCTGGGCAAGTCCCATAATGCCTTCCAGACTGCCTGGGGCCCCACGACCTAGGTTTCCCCACTTGTGCAGGGGGGCGCTGGGGACCAGGTGGGAGTCTGGCTCTGTGGGTTCTGCAGCCCAGAGGGCAGCCTCCTGTAACTGGAGAACGGGCAAGGAGGAGATGGCCTGGTGACCAGGAGCTTCCAGACAGCACAGCAGGTGCCAGGGGACACAGGGCAGGACCTACAGGGTTCAGGTCACGCAGCAGGTCTCAGCGAGCTGCTGTGCCACCATCCTGGGCTGTGGGGAGTGGACAGAGGCCCTTCTGAGCAGGGACTCCGTCATCTCTCTCCCTCCCCAGCTGCCCCCGAGAGCCAGCCCCACCCCGGTGCTGACCGGGGCAGAGGGCTCTGGCATGGACCCACTTCCCACTCTGGAGACCACAGCAGAGATGCCGCAGGTGGGAGGGGACACACCTGTGACACACACACTCCCAAATACGGGGAGACCCCTGCTTCCCAAGCCAGGGTGCCCGGTCTCCAGACAGCTCTGACCAGGAACGACTTCTTGCTGATGCCCAAATCTGCCCAGGTGCCTGGCTGGTTCTGCCCCAGTAGGCACCCAGGCCCTGACTGCCCACAGGGCTGGCAGGTGTCCCACACAGCCCCAGGTCAGGCAGGACACAAACCCAGCCCAACACAAAGCTCCTTCTCAAACCACGTCCCTGAAAAGTCCCGAACCCAGAATATGCCCGAACTCCCACAACTCCACCATAAAGAGGACAGGGCCCAACTAAGGGGCCCTTGAACATCTTTCCAGAGAAGAGCCACACACGGCCAACGAGCTCATGCCAGGATGCCGGGCACCAGGAAAATGTGAACTGCACTGAGTGAGACAAGGACCCGCCTCGCGCCGACGGCCACAGAGGGCAAACGGCACGAGCTGCTGGGTGGAGGGGAATCCGACCCTCCGCGTCGCTGGTCGGGGCATGTGTGGGGCGGCCCCTGCAAACAGCTGGCAGCTCCTCAAAGAGCTGAACGCAGAGTCCATGGGCCCAGCACGTGCCCGCGTGCGCAGCCAGGGGGTCCGAGCGCTGATGTCCACGGCAACACGATCCCATCCCTAACAGACGGGAAGCGGAACCAGCCCTCAACCGTCGGAGGAAGAGAAAACCAGGTTTACCCGTCAACGCTGCTTCGTACAGCTGAACTCTGAGACACGCAGGTAAACCCCAAAAACATGCCCAGCCAGACACAAAGGCCAGTTGGCACAACTCCCTGCCCAGGGGACATCCTGGAGGGGCACATCGGGGCTCAGGGTGGAAAGGCGCCACGGTTAGACTGTGGTAGCGGCTGCACACTGGATGTGCCGGAAGAACGGAACGGTCGACTTGAGGGTGAGCCGCATGTGTGTGCATCAGAGCCCGGGAAACTCGTGTAAAGCACTCCTCCGGCAGGCAGCCCTCTGGGAACCCTCCCCAGGAGCCACAGGGCGGCCCGGCTGCACCCAGCTTGGTCCTGGCAGCTCCCTGTCCACCGGGACCTGATGGTGGCGCCGCCCCCCCCAACCTTGCTGCCTGGCCTGTTCCTGCACCTCCTGTTTCTCAGGAGCCATCCCCCTGCCCTCCCCCTGTTCCTGCTGCCTTAATACATTTGGCCTTGTCATAGTTCAACACAAACCATTTTTAAACAAAAACAAGAGAAACCACTCTGACCTTTTACTGAGAAAATCCTTTCATTTCTGCCTTCTGCTCTTGATTCTGAATTTCTCCCCCTAAATGTCAGAGGGGCTCATTCTCCTGCAGCTGCCGGGCAGGGGTGGGAGGCAGTGTGGGAAGAAGTCTCCTTAGCCGGCACCTTCGCCCTCCTCCCAACCCGGGGCTGGCAACCTGGCTGGGCCTAAGAACAGCTGTTCTCCAGGCACCCACCTTCCCTGGCCCGCAGACGCTGGCAGGCTTTGGGAGCCTGGCCGTTCTTTTCTAAAAATATATATTTTTTAGAGACAAGTCTCACGGTCATCCAGGCTGGAGTGCAGTGGCATGATCACGGTTCACTGCAGCCTCGAACTCCTGGGCTCAAGCGACCCCCCTCAGCCTCCTGAGCTGCTAGAATTACAGGCATGTGCCATCACACTTGGCTAATTTTTAATTTTTTTTTTAGAGACAGACTTTAGCTATGTTGCCCAGGCTTGTCTCAAACTCCTGTCTTGATGTGAGCCTCCTGCCTCAGCTTCCCACGAGGTGAGGATTACAGGCATGAACGCTGATCATTCTTTATTTGAAACAGGTGCACCCTGCCAGTGTCAGCGAGACAGCTGCTCCCAATGGTAGGCCGGGTCGCCCACCCACGGCTCCTCCAGCACCTCCTCTCTGCTGGCCTCAGGTGGCTCTGGAAGAATGATGCCCTGAGATTCCACACTGCCCTCCAGGTTAGGGTGGGGGTGGACGGGGACAGGCAGCAGTGACCAGTACTACTCTCCTAGCTCAAACCCCACACAAAGGCAGACCCAGCGTTTGCAAAACACCAGCCCCCTGCGAACAAGTCAACCTGCCCTGCAGCCCACCTCTGACTCCGTTTCCCCCGGCGTACCCGGTCTGCATTGGGAGGGGCCGCCCCACCTCTGACTCCGTTTCCCCCAGCGTACCCGGCTGCACTGGGAGGGGTCGCCTCAGTCCGACACCCTCAGCAGCACTCTGGCATTAGCAGGACCTGCTGAATGAGTGGCGCCCGGCCCATCCATCTCTGCTCAGCCCTCTGCCATGTTCAAATATCACACAGTCCCCAGGTACCTCATAAATCACTGTAATTAGGGGCTGCTCACTTAAAATTAGAGCGCAATTTTTTAAAAAGCAAATTGCCAGTGAGACATGTTGGCTGTGGCTGGAAATATTTATGGGGCGGCCTGCGTGCTGGCTCTGGTTTCCTCCTCCTTCTGTCTGGCCGGCCCGAGCTGCCACCTGTCTGGTCTGCACATACAGCGGCCGTGTGGCTGGCGGGTGCCCTGGGGGAGGCTGAGACCACTCACTCTTAATGAAGACACTCTCAGTGTCCATTGTGGCCACCGCACTCCAGCCTAGACCCTGACTGGCCTGGCCTGGGGCTCCCCTGCCCCTCTGGAAGCAGAGCGGGCCTGCCCTGGAGGGTCGGGGGCCTCTGCAGCTTGTCTGTGGAACACGTGGGCTGGGGGGCGCATGCCCGGCCTCCACTCCAGCTCTGCCACGTGAGCAGGTCTCTGTGCAGTGCTCATACGGTGACCGGGGCTGTGGGGCCTTACTAAGTGCTGGTCCTGCCATCCCCTGAGCTGAGCCCCGTGGTGTCCCAGGGGGCACGGACAACAGACACGGAGTGAGGGAGGAGTGCGGGCTGACGAGGCACTTGGAGAGCAGAGACAGCGCCTCTCTCCACACACCACCAACCGCAGGATGTGGTGCGGCTCGAAGGCCAAGGGGGAAGTGTGCGGGATTCCTGTCCAGAGCAAGACCCCCTGTGGCTGAGGGTCCGAGAGCAACTCTATGAACAGGGAAACTCGAGGGGAGGAAGCTAGAGACGGAATGAAGGAAGCCCTGAGTCCTGGCTCAAACAAGCAAAGCTGAAATAATGCATTAAAATGAGAAAACAGGCAGGAAATGGAAACGATGCTACTTTGAGATACTGGGAAGTTATGTGAATCCTGTTCATCTGTGGGGTGGCGTGAAGAGGTGGAGGCCACACCAGTGGACATCAAAACCAGAAACCAGTCAGAGAAAACAGGAAAACTGGGTAAGTGCCTGGAAATTAAACAGCACACTTCGAAGTAATCCACGAGTGAAATGGGATGCCTCAAAGGAAATAAAAAAGAACAGAATGGAAACAAGAATACAGCATAATAAAATTTGCCGGACGCACCCAAGGCAGTGCTTAGAGGGAAACTGAGCACTCAATGCCTGTATCAGAAAAGAAGAAAGATCTCAAATCAATTCTCTAAATTCCTACTTTAAGAAATGAAGGCCAAAACAAGCCTGAAGCAGGAGGAGGAAATAATAAAAGTAGGAATGAACAGGAAAACAAAAGACAGTTCTTAAAACGAAAAACTCGTTCTTTAAAAAATAGCAATAAGGCCGGCCAGGAGCAGGGGCTTATGCCTGTGATCTTTGCACTTTGGGAGGCCAAGGTGAGAGGATTGCTTGAGCCCTGGAGTTTGAGAACAGCCTGGACAACACAGTGAGATCCCATCTCTATAATCAATCAGCCAGGTGTGGTGGCATGCACCTGTAGCCCCAGCTATTCGAGATCACTTGGGCCTAGGAATTTGAAGCTGTAGTGAGCTATGATCACACCACTGCACTCCAGCCTGGGCAACAGAGTGAGACCCTGTCTCAAAAATTTTTTAAAAAGACCAACAACAATAAAATTGATAAACCCCTAGCAAAACTGACAAAGATTAAAAAGAGTGAAATGACTAACATCAGAAATGAAATGGAAATATTATAATAGATCCAGCAGCTATTAAAATAACAATAAAAAATATGACAACAAAACTTGATGCTCATCAAGAACTGGACGGATTCCTGGAGAACCACACACTACCAAAACGTGCCAAGATAAAACAGACAGCCTCGGTGGTCCTATAACCGTTAAATAAATCAAGTTTGTTGTAATTAAAATGCT